TTTTTTTTGTATTTTACCAGTTATAAACGACGGAACGATTCTTGGTATTGGCACAGATGATAAGCTCTATACACGCGCTACCTTGAATAGCAATTGGGTCCAAGTTCCAAATACTGAAGGTTTAGTCAAGGCAATCACACAGTTGCATGACGGAACGATTTTAGGTGTTGGCACAGATGATAAGCTATATACACGTGCCACCTTGAATAGCAATTGGGTCAACGTTGCAAATACTGAAGGCTTAGTCATTGCAGTTACGCAGTTAACGGATGGAACTATTCTAGGTGTAGGCACAGATTATAAGCTTTATACACGTGCTACGTTGAATAGCAATTGGATCAATGTTGCAAATACTGAAGGTTTAATCATTGGAATTACGCAGTTAAAAGATGGAACAATTCTTGGTATTGGAACAGATCATAAACTGTATACACGCGCTACGTTGAATAGCAATTGGGTCAATGTTGCAAATAGTGAGGGTTTAGTCATTGCAGTTACGCAGTTAAAGGATGGAACTATCCTTGGTGTTGGCACAGATGATAAGCTCTATACACGCGCTACGTTGAATAGCAATTGGGTCAATGTTGCGAACACTGAAGGTTTAGTCATTGGAATTACGCAGCTAAATTATCCAATTCCAGGTATAGGCATAGATTATAAATTTTATACAAGCGCTCAGGGGTGGTATTTTACCTTTGCTTTACTATAGTAATAAGGAACTCTCGTAGTTACGTACTTACTAATAACTACATAACTATTGTAGTTACTTTACATTAGAAAGGTAAATAAAAAGTAAAGGAACTACTGTCATCCTTTAGGTACATAAATACCTTTTCGATTCTTCTGTATAACGAAGACATTATCCGCATAGATTTTCTTTGACAGTGTTATCTTCAGGGTAAGAACAAAAATTGAAAAAGAATGTTTATGTTGTGTTGTCCAAGATACCTAGTGTTTTTCGTAACTTTTTTTTGGTAGATCTGCACGCCTTTCCATGTTAGTTATGCAAGTAAAAAATGAGGCCAACTCCTTAAGCATTCGAGGAGTTAGACCTACGGTAATGTCTACAATTTGAGCATAGAGCTATTTCTCTCTAGTAAATGATGTATATATATAAGTTTGAAAATTCCAGAGAACAACAAGTGTTTGTGAGGAACCTTTCTTATAAGTCAGAAGTCAGTCTCTCCAACTTTCACTAATCGATGAAGTACACAATTGAAGGGATGAGTGCGAGCTGAATATAATACAAACACCCACATCCACCCCCTCAAGATACTCTTCAGTTCATATATCCTAAAATAAGTTATAGTATAAGAATAAACGTCGTTAAGGACCTATCGCGACTTGTGATTAGGACGAAAAGTTATTATTGTATTGTCTTTTTTTCCAGTTGTATGCTCAAGTCCATGCCAACATGGTGGCACTTGTACTGCTCCAAATACGTGTACATGTCCATCGCAATACACTGGTGCTAC